AAGAATATATTTCATTCACCCGATATTCCCAAAATATTGTCATTTCAACAGAGTCAATACACAAATTATTAATGAAACAAAATGCACTTTTTGGATTTCAGTCTTTGAAATCTGACTGTAGTTTCTATTTACAGCACATCTTGATTCTGCCCAGCTGTATTTCCGTGCCCTTTAGACGTGGTTTTAATGATTGCCTCATTGGGCAGTTCTGTTAATAGTACATGACATAGTCCCTTAATTAAGATAGCATAGCGATCCATTTTAACAGAAAAAACATCATATACATGTAACAAAATTTCTCATGTACCCTATAAATGTGTATAAGTGTTTAAATAAATAAAAGAAAAAATATTCTCTGGAGTCCCCCATTTGGACAAATTATTTTTAGATTTGATTAATTTTATGTACATTATTAAATATGTGTGGCATAAACCTAGTTGCACATTTCTCAATCTTGTAGCTCTTATACGTTTATGAGAACCACACAAGTGCACACTTGTATAAAAACACTTACGTGCCTATAATCTTACATTTGACATGATGAATATGTTTAGCTTAAACTTAACCAGTATTTGAAGCATGAATAAAAACTTGGCTTCTCCGAGCATGTTCCTTTCATTTCAACATCTGGAACATACTGATTTAAACTACTACATGGCTGCTAGTAAACCTCATAGTGATATCATTTGTTCTTTCTAGGCAAGAATGGATTTTTTCTATATGGAGTCACCACTTTTATTTAATCAGTTATCTGCAAGTTATAATAGTTCAATAAGGCGTCAGTGTGATTTTTAACAAATTCAAGCAACGAACATTTCAGTTGGTTCTTGGCTGTATAAGCAATTACTAGGAAGGTCCAGATTTATTAAATCATGTAGATTATATCAAAATGAAAACAGAATATTTGTAAAATATAATAGGGAAGCTTTGAATTTCCTGTGACTTAGTTTGCAGATGCTCCTGCATGGGCAATGCTGCTGGGCCCTACACTAGACTCTTTCTATGATATCTGAGTGACAACAAGGAGTCATTTAAAGTCCTTGGAGGTTTACAAAGTCAGCTTTTAGTTTTAAGAAGAGAATTGCCTGTGAATGTAGATAGAGTTTGCACATATATGTAAGAAACATAATTCTAAACTCATGATATATTTGATGGATAATACATAATTTAAATATCCAAGTAGTTGTTAGCTGATTCACCATGGGAGAGTAGCACCATTAAATACTGTTATTCAAGCCACATTATTATATCCTTTTTTTTGTAGAATTGCCTTTAAAATGGCTTACAGTTGTGAGAGAAGATAAATTCCATTATTTATAATCCCCAAACTTTTGTTAACAAATTATCTTTAAAAAACGAAAATGCTCACTTCAGTACTGAGCATGATCAGCAGAGCAGTGAAATTTGAATGAGTCTGCAGTCACTCTATTTTGAGAAAACAATATTCACTTGAATATATATGACTGGGAGCACTTATTTTTTCCATGTTAAACACAGTTTTTTAGTAAAGATTTGTGTAGCTCTTTTTTCAAATTTCTGGTTCTTGCTGAGTACTTAAAAAATTGGTTATCAACCCTACTCTCAGTAAAATTTATAAATTTATTATACTTGATTATATACAGCGTATTTGCTTGTGGAAAAAGAGGTCTAGAAAATGATTCAGTAGCAGCTACTAGATAGAATTCTCTTGCTAAATATTGACATATTTTTTGTGTGCACATATATGTGAGCATAAATTTAACTTGGTACACATCCACTCAGAAATGATATATTGATTTCCTTTTCCTTTTAAAAAAACAAACAAATCCATTCAAAAGTGGGCAAAGCATATAAACAGATACTTTCCAAAAGAAGACAAATATGTAGCCAACAAACATGAAAAAATGCTCATCATTATTGGTCATTAGAGAAATGCAAATCAAAACCACACTGAGATACCATCTCATGCCAGTTAGAATGGCGATCATTAAAAAATCTGGAGACAACAGATGCTGGAGAGGATGTGGAGAAATAGGAACACATTTACACTGTTGGTGGGAGTGTAAATTAGTTCAACCATTATGTAAGACAGTGTGGCAATTCTTCAAGGACCTAGAAATAGAAATCCCATTTGACCCAGCAATCCCATTACTGAGTATATACCCAAAGGATTATAAATAATTCTATTATAAAGACACATGCACACATATGTTCATTGTGGCACTGTTTATGATAGCAAAGACCTGGAACCAACCTAAATACCCATGGATGATATAGACTGGACAAGGAAAATGTGGCACACATATACCGTGGAATACTATGCAGCCATAAAAAATGATGAGTTTGTGTCCTTTGTAGAGACATGGATGAACCTAGAAACCATCATTCTAAGCAAACTGACACAAGAGCAGAAAACCAAATGTGGCATGTCCTCACTCACAGTCGGGTGATGAACAATGAGAACACTTGGGCACAGGGAAGGGAACAACACTTACAGGGTTAGGTGGGGGGTGGAGGGAAGGGGAGGGACAGTTGAGTGGGGGCGGGGAGGATGAGGAGGGATAACACCGGGAGAAATGCCTGACATAGGCGACGGCGGGGGGGGGGGAATGTATGTACCTATGCAACAATCCTGCAGTGTGCAGGAAGTGCACATGAACCCCAGATCCCAAATACAAAAAAAAAAAAAAAAAAAGTTATTCAGAAACTGTTATGTATGTTATTGAAAACGGGAGAGTTCCCTGACCCGGCTTGCAGGAGGTGAGACATTGGTGTGTCTCCTCTGTTAGGCAACCGTGAGTGCTCACACCCCTTACAGGAGGGGTAGCACTCAGATGAGCAGGTGCAGGAGCCAAGGGACTGGCGTTTGCATGGGTAAAGGATAAGGGGGTGTGGCGGGCCAACAGGCAAATTTTGGGCATAAAAACAAGAATACCTATTCTCATTGAGGGCTATGGGTTTCTAGGTTTGAGGGTGGGGCTTCTGCCAGGCAAGTGGCCTCTTCTACCAAGTATTTCCCTGCTTCCTGTCCATATCATTAATAACTAACATATTAACAAATTCACAGTCTCCACGATAAAATGCTAACTATTACAAAAATTATGACTCCCTGAACATGATATTGATGGCACATTCCGCTCTAAAATAATTTTCTCATCCAGCTGTTTCTTGAAGTTTATACTGAATACAAATTTCTCAATGTAGGAAACAAATCAATAATATATCCCTGTGTGTTCAATAGGCTTTTAAGTCTATGGTATATCAACTAGTTTTATGAAAGTAAAAAAGTTCCAGGTTCAAATGTTTTCAGGAAATTATAAATTAAACCCCATTAAATAGATAAATACTGAATATCTTTATTCTCATATTATTATAATTTGTTTTGTGTCTTTTGAATAGGAGTCTATATAATGCAGAGTTTTACAATGTTTTGACTAAGCTACCTCTTTATTTTTCTACAGGATCACATATAAAGACCACTTAAAAAATAATTCCCGGCCGGGCGCGGTGGCTCAGGCCTGTAATCCCAGCACTTTGGGAGGCCGAGGCGGGTGGATCACGAGGTCAAGAGATCAAGACCATCCTGGTCAACATGGTGAAACACCGTCTCTACTAAAAATACAAAAAATCAGCTGGGCATGGTGGCGCGTGCCTGTAATCCCAGCTACTCAGGAGGCTGAGGCAGGAGAATTGTCTGAACCCAGGAGGCGGAGGTTGCGGTGAGCCGAGATCGCGCCATTGCACTCCAGCGTGCGGAACAAGAGCAAAACTCCGTCTCAAAAAAAAAAAAATAAATAAAATAATAATAATAATAATTCCCATTTTTTTAAACTTTTAATATTACTACCTGCTGTTAATATGGATATTTACTGCATAGGTAGGAGATTTTCTCGATGTTCATTTAAAGTGTTTTTATGTTTGTGCCAAGAACAAACATAAAATTAAATGGTAATATGTCTGTAATATATCTGGTTTTATGTTGTATAACTTAATAAGTATCATTAAATGACCTAAAAACAAATATTAGATCCTCAGCAGAACATGAAGTCCCAAATCTACTTATCATTGATTGAGCAAACTAATGCTTTTGAATTTAAACTATTGATATTAATAATAAAACAGAATCTTTTAATAACTAAGATTATTTTATTACATATACGAGTATCTGTGACTGGTTTATATTTTTCTTTAGCTTGGCTGTCTAAAATAATAAGTTGGTTACCTACTTTGTTTGCCCTTTAATACAGTTGAAAAAGTTTGTCTCGGGTCTGATAGAACGGGATCAATTTATACAGCTAGTGCTTGACTTACGACCACGATTGGTTCCAACAGACCGGTCGTAACATGATTTGGTCATAAGTTGAGTAGGCTATATGTACAGTGCTGTGAAATGATGTTATAAAAATTTTTAAGTCATATTTTATCATAATTTTCTTTCATTATTTTTATATATCATAATTTTCTTTGTTCATTTTATGCCGTTTGTATCATCTCTACACCATTTTCTTTCTTATTTTTACATTCGTCAGGTTTAAGTAAAACACTGCATTACCAGTATAACTGGTTTAATATTTGCAAAACATACAAAATTACAAAATACAGGTGCATACAAAAATACAAAATACAGGTGTAAAAAATACCATAGGAAACATTTTCCCAATTGCAAAACATATCAAAATATGTAAACATGTATGAAACATTTTATTGGCAGTTTTTGAATTTGATCTTCCATCCAAATATATAGCAATTTCTCCACTTCTTGGATGGGCCCGCTTCGTTGCTTTGTTATAACTGTTGATCGCATGGGTGCAGAACCTTTCACAGCTTCACGAATTCTTTCTTTATCTTTCAAAATCGCCGACACAGTCGAGTGTGATAACTTCGTATCACATGCGATCACATTCACTTTCTTTCCTCCTTCGTACTGCTTAATTACCTTAATTTTCGTGTCGAGATCGATAGCCTTTCTTTCCTTCTTGGCAGGCTGAGGCATAGACAAAGACAATTTCCTCTTGGTAGACATCATGGGAGGGGTTTGATGAAAAATATCCAAGACACAAAACACAAATTGCTATACTGAGTTTGGGATAACAGTTGAAGTGGTGCACGCAGAGATGGTAGTGCTGCTAGAAGCTGGTCCACACTGTCGTACGCCCAGCTGGGCAACGTTTGCGCTGCCAGACGCGGAGCAGTCATGGCTAGCGATTGTGGTCGTAAAGTCAAATGGTCGTAAGTTGCATAGGTCGTAAGCCGATCAATACCTGTACATTAATTCAAGAAATATTTATTAAAAATCTATGATTTCCAAGCATATCCTAAATGCTGAGCATAGAATGGGAAATAAAATAAAGTCATTATATTATAAAGTGAGTATTTTGCATGTTACAGAATTGGATTATAAAGAAGTAATCTAATAACTCTGGTATTTCTGATAGTGATAAATATTTTGGAAAAAGATAAAGCAGAGAAGAGGACAAGGAAGTTCCAGAGTAGGGTACAATGCTAAGTAGAATTGCTGGGGAAGTTGTCAATTAGAAGGTAGAATTTGAGCAAAGTGCTGGAATAGATAAGAAAACAAGCATCTGTATGTCTCTGTAGTGGAAGAATATTTCCACGGAGAAGATAAGAAAGGACAAAGTCACCCAGGAGGAAATTTGTCCAGTGTTCTCAAACAGCAGCAGGTATGAACTGTGTAAGGGGAGGAGTAGTTGGGGAACAGATCAGAACAGAGATAAAAAGGAAAATAGATCATGTGGGCCCTGTAGGGCGTTTCCAAACAAATAAACAAACAAAAATCAAACAAGCAACAATAAAAACTTGGCTTTGGCTGTTACTGTGAGATGGGAAGCCATTGGAGGGCTTGGTGCAGAGAAATAACTTTATCTGACTTATATGAAAACAATTTGAACATTGTTGACAATAGGCAGTAGAGGAGAAAAGACAACTAGAAAGACAAATTGGAATCTATTTCAGTCATCCAGATAAGCAGTAACAATGGTTGGAACCAGGGTATTCATGGCAGAGACAATGTGAAATGGTCAGTTTCTGGGCATGTTTGAAAATAGAGACAACAATATTTTCTGACAGACTGGCTGTGGGGTATGACAAAAATATTTTAGCTTAATCACTGAGATCTACAGGTAGTTTCCATTAAAAAAAAACAAACACAAACACACACCCAAAGCAAAGACTGGAGAAAGGGGAAGGGCCATGGGAGATGACTATGAGACTTCTAAATGGAAATATTGAATTGATAACCAGAACTCAATATGAGTTCAGAAGAGAAGTCTGAAGCAGTGATGCATGTATGGGAGTTGTCAGCATGGAGTAGGTCTTAAGGAAATGACACTGAATAAAATTAACAAGCCAGTGAAGACAGAGAATTAAAGAGGAGAAAAAATTAATTTATAAAGCCCTCCAATGGCAAGGTGAGAGAATGAAGAAGTAAGTACTCAAGAAGAAAACAAAATAGCCAGGGAGGTAGGAGAAAACGTTAAGAAGCAAAGTCAACTTGGAAGCAAAGCCAAAAGCATGTTAAGATAGGCCAGACCATAAGAGAATCGAGAACTGGTGATAGGTAGCTGACTTTCATAAAAATAATCTTAAATGAAGTGGTGCAGACAACTGGCTGAACACAATGAATTCCAGAGAAAATGGAAGAAAACAAAAGTAGAGAAACAGTAAAGGGAACTAACATTGAGATTTTTGGCTGGAAAAATACAGCAGGAAAGTGGAGTATTGTCACAAAGAGTTATGGAGCCAAGATGTTTGTATTTTGATTTTATTTTTTGAAATAGGGAGATTTACAGATAATTGACATGTGTTGAAGGTAATTCAATATATATTAATAAATAATTTTGTTACAGAAGGAGAAAAGAATTGCTAAAGTCATGCCTTTTTGTGGATGAGAAAGAATAGAGTGAAATATGTGTGGGAAGGATTGATCTCAGAACATAATTCACACATAATAGTAGAAGGGAAGGAGCATGGAGCAGGTGGGTTGGTTGCCTGCCACTGGTGGAAATTCTTTCCTGATTGCTCTTTTCCTTCTCAGTGAAATAGGAAAGAAGGTTATCAGCTGGGAGTGATGACTGGGATATAGAGCTAGACATCTGAAGAGAAAATGAAAAAAANAAAAAAAACAAAAAATAAAAACCTAGCTTTCTGAGAGCATGGAGTTTTAATTGGATTTAGGAAAATGTGGCTTGATTGTTTAGCCCGCTAAAGTGCACACTGGAAGTTTAGTGATTATGAATTTACAGTGAGCCCAGCATTATGATTGGCTATTTTTCTCCAGGCATATTCAACTGTATTAATACGGACATAGAATAAACAGGGAGTTGTGTTTAACTAGAGGTGGAGTTTTACTAAGTGAGTATGATGAGTAATAGCAGGAATAGAGAATGAAAGGTCAGTGATCAATTTTCCACATGCATAACTTATCCACTCAGCACTGTTCATTCTAGTATTATTATTCTTTAAATAGTATTCATAGTGAAATTCAGCACTATAAAGGGCTATAAGGTAGAATAAACAAATTCACATTAAAACCCATTCTAATTCCAGGATTCAGAGGAAGCCACTATAAATAGTTTTGTGTCTATCCTTCTAGACATTTTCTATGAATACATAAACAGGTAGTTTTTTTAGGCCAAATATTGCTTCACACTATTCATATTGTTCTGGTACTTACTTTTTTCACTCAGCAATATATCACAGGCACAAACTCCATGCTAGCACTTAAAGATCTATCTCATTCTACAGCGACATAATATTCTACTGTTTTTGTGAGGCATAATTTATTTAAATAATCACTTTTTGATTTAGGTGATTTCCAGTTTTTGCTATAATGAGTAATGCAAAAGTGAACATCCTTACTCACAGAAGTTTATTTATTTTTCCTTGTATTATTTCTCTAATGTAGATTACTCGAGGAAGGATTGCTTAGTCAAAGAATATGCACTATTTTACCATTGCTACTAAAGGAATAGCCAAAAAGCATAAGAGTTTATTCTCTTCCACATTCACATCAACACTAGATATTTTAAAAAATGATAATTCATTTAAGTATATATTTATTGTTATAAAGAGTTTGAGCACCACTTTTGTTTTACATTTTTAAACTATGAAATATTTTAAATATACAAAAAATTATATGAAATACATGTAGGTACTGATAAGCTTGAAATGATTCTAATAGTTAACGATTGCTGTTTTAGGTCTCTAGTTTTTTTTTTTTAATTTAATGTCCTTTGAAAAATAGAATTTCCATGTGCAGCTTAATTCTCACCATACATTTTCTACTTTCTTTTTGCTACAGGTAAACGTTATCCTGAATTTTTTTTTTTTCTTGTTAACACATATGTATCTTACAGTTATCTTTTTGTCTTCATTCTCCACTAGTATGTGAGCACCATTATGGCAGTGATTCATGCTCACTTTGAATCCCCAGTACCTAGGATGAGAATGGCATATTGTAGATACTCAGTAAATAAATGTCAAAAGAATAATTAATGCTTTAATGGAGGTATGTATTCGTACTCATGTACTTTTACCAGAAACATAAGTATCTGTAACAATAATATTTTGTATATTCTACACAAAATTATAAATGTAATCATACTGTATGCTTATTTTTGCAAAATTTTTTGATGTTAGGTTTTTGAAACCTAGCTGTGTTAATACTTTTTCATATAGTTAATTCATATAAAATTTTAGTTACTATTACAATATTTATTCTCATTAGAATGATTTATTCATTTCCATATTAAGGAGTAGTTCGGTATTTCTATTTAGGTTGTTACTTAATTTTTGACTTATAAATGAGATAGCCAATAAACAATTGCCAAGCCATAGAATAATTACACTAGTAGTGCTCATTCTTCTTTATTGTTTTTGTATCAATTTATATCCTTACAGAATTTGCGTGCCTCTGTATCTTCATCAACTCTTTTAATCCAAATTGTGCCAAACTAGTGAGACTGAACTGCACATAAGTATTATTTTTTTTCTTAATTCGCTGTCAGATTGAGGGTCTTTCAAATTTGTATTGGTCATTTGGATACACTGTTATTTTTAGGTGCCCGTTTATATTTCTTGTCTTCTTTCCCCACATCATTTTCTTTTCCTTCCTAAGTGAAAATATATCACATATAGTAAATATATGCGTATACGTGTGTGCATGTGTGTGTGTGTGTATTGCATACTATTCCTCTATCTAGAAATAGTCTTTATTGGTGATAGAACATTCGACGCAAAATGATCATTTTTCAGAATTTTCTCTTTTCTTTTTTAAAGCTATTTATTTTTTCTTGCCCAAGGACATAAATGTCTTGCTTTATTTTCATCTAAAAAGTTTTATATGCTTGCAATAAACCTTTATTATTGATAAATGTACATCTCCCTTATTTTCATAAACAAAGTGAAGAGGTACCTGAAGAAGATGAAGATCTGACAGTTTCTTCATCTGTCCTAGAATGTTCACGGATCAATCCATCTTGTCATCTGATCTGTAATGCTCCCAAGATTACATACAAAGCACCCACATATTTCTGAATTAGTTACTCACTGATATGGCAACAGAATACCACAAATCCTAGAGTTTTAAAGAATACACACTGTCTGAAAGCTCCACAAACAGAAGTGCTAAATCAGTTTCACCATCTAAAGTCAGAGTAATGGCAGGCTGGTTTCTCTTGGAAGCTCTGGTAGGAGAGTCCATTTCCTTGCCTTTCTTTTAGCTTTAAGTGACTGCCTGTATTCTTTGGCTTGTGGTATCTTTCTCCATCTCCATCGCCAAAATACAACATTCCAGTTGCTACTTTCATCATCATATTATCTTCCTTTTTATGGTAATAAAGTCTTCTGCTTCCCTCTTACGAGGATAGTTCTGTTTACATATAAGACCCACTTGATAATCTTGATCATTTCCCCATCTCAAAATGTGTCAATTAATCACTTTTGCAAAATTTTTTCTTCCATAAAAGGTATAATTCATAGATTCCAGAAATGAGGATGTGAATAACTTTGGAACTATTATTTGATCTACCACAATTACGTTTATAAAATATTTTTTGTTAATCAAAAAGAAATGTTGACTATTATAAAACAGAAGAGTTGCCCTCTTATGAGTCAATAGTACTCTTTGTCTCTTAAATATTTTTAATATAAAATAATGTATTCCTCAAATAATTCTTAGTGACAATTTGCTAATATTTATTGGTTTATATTATAT